CCCAGTGTGGGCACCCGTTCAGCAGCGAGGGGCCTGGGCAGACCCAGCCCAGCTTCCCGTGTGGCACTGGCACCGCTTGGCCTCACGTGGAGCACGAGGGGGCACGTGGCACGACGGGAGGCACAGCCGACCTACCCTTGTCCAGGAGAGCCGCCTCCTGTTCAGCTTTCCTGCCCGCCGCCTTCCCCTTGGCTGCGAGAGGAGCAAGAGACGTCCCGTCAGATGGGACAAAGCCTGGAGTAGCAGGTCACTCCGGCAGAACCCGTCCCTGCACGCAGCAGGCGTTGGGATGCTTCCACCCCGCACCCCCCAACCAGGCACCCCCAAGCTGGGCCCTTGGTGGGCAGCTGGTGCGTCCCATGGGATGGGACAGGGCATGGGGCCAAGCGCAGGAGACATTTGGGGGTTGGCCAAACCGGGACAGCCTCCCCTCATCCCTGGTGCAGCACGTTGTGCTGAGCAGACACCCAGGGTCCCCCCCGCTGGGCACTTCCTGGCCAACACGTGCTGGTGCGGTTCCCATTCCCTCTACCATGAGCCAGCCTGGCGCTGTCACCACATGCCCCACGCCACATGTGCGGAAACGCTCCCCACAGCCAACAGCCATGCAACCTCCAGCCAGGCACAGACGTGCCCCCACGGCTCCCTGCAGTCATCCAGTCAACGGTCCCTCAGGAGCAAAGCACAGCCTGAGACCCTTCCCCTTACCTCGGTGGGTGAAAAAGGCACCTGCTGCAAGGGCCAGGAGGGCAAACGCGAGCAGCACCCAGAAGGCAGGCAGCCAGGGAGACACTCGAGGGAAGACGTCTCCTGGTATCCCCGAGACAAATTGTGGACATCAGTCAGACTGCAGCAACACCTTGCCCAAATCCCTCCTGCTCCCAGCAGCCAGCCCCCTGGGCTCCCCAAATCACCCTTCCCGTCCAACTGGGACGTCGCACCCTGCATGCCTCAGCGCGCCCCTTTTGCAGAGGAGAGGTGTGTGTGGGGGGGAATGCCATCTTTCTGCAGCCTGTTAGAGAGAGAGAGGGAGCGTCTTGGTATGAGTGCACCATGGAGATCACGTTAATCAGTGACCTGGAAAACCGAAGGTGGTGTCCCGAGGGGAGACCATGCAAAAGGGAGTTCCTTGAGGCTGGTGCTGACAGGGCCTCAGCAGAGGTGCTTGTGGGTTGCAGGGGAAGGCCTTTCCCCCGATGTGCAGTCTTGGCCAAGCACGTCCTGCATGACCCTGCTGTGTGTCTGCAAGAGAAGTGTCTGTCACCCTGCTCCCTCTCCCTCAAGAAGTCCCTTTTTGGGATCCCCATACTCGCTTCTGTGCAGGAGCTGGGGGGGTTTAATAACTGCCTTGCCCTCCCTACCATTGTGTTTCTGCAAGCTGGGACTCACCTTCAAGCTCAATGGCTGAATGCAACTTGGCACCTGTCAGGCTGTTTTGCACAATACACCATATCTCACCAGCATCCTTTTCTCCAGGGACAGTGATGTGGCTCTGCACGGTGTAGAGCTGCTGCTGGTCCTGCGTGATGGTGGTCACTGGCTGCATTGCCAGGGCCTGCCCATCCAGCCTGAGCCAGCGGACCGTTGGCTCGGGGAACCATCCAGTGGATTTGCAGGACAGCCCCAGCCCTGATCCCTCAGG